GTTAATTTCAAGTTTCTAATTCTAAATTTGATTTATTGTTATTTAATTTTAATTTTATATAATTTATTATATATTATATTAAATTTTGTAAAATCTCAATTTTACTAATTCGATTTTACGATTCCGATTTCACCTAGCCAAAACGATTTTAAGTAAAATCTCGATTTTGACAACCTTGATCCTAACCACTAAACTAAAATAAAAAGGGTAAAAAACCAAAGGGTTCTTGATTATAGAATTAGGTTTGCATCCAAAGTATCTATGGTCAGAGCATTAATTATTATGTACAATTCACACTTATGTTGTCGGGTTATAGTGAATGAACTTAAGGCGCTTAATTATGAATACCATTTAAGTTAAGTGGCTAATTTTGAAGTTATTCAATTTGTAATTTTTTTTTTAAAAAATTTTAGGTTACATAATATAAAATAATTTTTTTTATTCCTTTACACATCCCACCCACATACCTACAACTTGAATATAAAATTTCTTACTCTACTAGAAGAAAAAATCACTAAATCATTTAAATTATTAGTTAATTTGTCAAGTTAATCATGAGACTTGTCTAGTCTACACTTACTTGGCCTCCGTCTTGCACTAAAACAGTCTTATTTTTGTGTTGGTGTTTTTCCTTGATGGTAACTTGGGAAAGGTGGAACTTCCAAGTGGAATTAGTCCAATCTTATCTGTGGAAAAGGGTTGAGCTGCAATTATTTGGGGTGAGTGGAGTCCATTCATAAACTTCAATAACAGAAACTTTTACTATTAATTGGTCAGTTGTTTGTGGTGGTCCAATCAGTAATGGTTCTTTTTTTTTTTTTTTTGCCTTGCTTAACCATTTGAGAAAATCTCAAATTAATTTATGAATTTTACAACCTTCTTAAATCTAATTTTAAGTCGCACAAGGAGAATTATTTTTTTTATTTTTTTATACTCTAAAAATATATTATATGACTCAAATTTAAAATTTTTACTTTTATAAAAAATTTGTTTGATTTAAGAGGAATAAAAAAAAAAAGAGATTATTTAATCCGAGGATTTGTTGGGCTTGAATTTGTGACGAAGGGTTCCACTTAAAAAAAAGGAATTTATGACGAAAGGGATGTTAATCCCCACTAACTGGTAGCTTTTTATCCACTGGACCGACACGTGATAATTGAACTACCTAGTTTTTGGTTGGCCTTCATCTGTTAATAATCTTTCTTCATTCAAGTGCTTCTTGTCATTATTGCTGAAATATAATGAAGTTTCCGAGACACAAGAAAAGTGGTGCCCCCAGTTTCTCAAAATTCCAACCAATTAAATAGATAAGGGTATCCTATTTTACATTTAAAATTAATTTAAACTGTAAAATAAAACTATTTGATTGGTAAAAATTTCTAACATTAACAATTTAATTCCTATCAGACCATTATATTTTATAATTCAGATCACAAAATAATTTTTTAAATAAATAATCTCTTTAGGGGAAGTTGCAAATTCTCTTTCATCTTTATTATCTTTGTCATTGAGGTTGATTTTTATAAAATTTAGTAAAAGGAATTTTCTAACTTATTCCCTTAAGTAGATATTAAGGATGTATTTATTTTGTTTTTTTATTATTAATTTATATTAAAAATAAAAATTTATTTTTATAAAAATTAATGATTAAAAGGTATATAATAAATATAGTAAAAAAGTGATGAAAGAGAGAAGAAAAGAAGGGAAGGAAAAGATTGGTGTTAACCTCATTTGTTTGGGTATGTTGAGAAGACATTTAGCCT